TTTAAAAAAATAATTAATGATTAATAATATAATAGATGGTAAATTATTTTTATTGATAATTAGTATTTAATTATACTTTTTTCTGTAATTTAAATTCAACTAAATCTTTTATTTAAAAATATAATTAATGATTAATAATATAATAGATGGTAAGTTATTTTTATAGTTATCAGTATTTAATTAATCTTTTTATTGTAATATAAATTCAACCAAAATTTTTATTTAAAATTAATAATTAATGATTAATAATATAATAGATAGTAAGTTATTTTTATTGATTATTAGTATTTAATTATAATTTTTACTGTAATTTAAACTCAACTAAATTTTTTATTTAAAAAATAATAATGATTAATAATATAATAGATGGTAAGTTATTTTTATTGATTATTAGCATTTAATTATATTTTTTACTGTAATTAACTAAACTTTTTATTTAAAAAATAATAATTAATAATAAAATAGATAGTAAGTTATTTTTATTAATTATTAGTATTTAATTATAATTTTTACTGTAACTTAAATATTTTATTTAAAGAATCAAAAAATACTACAGGAAGTAAGTTATTTTATTAATTATCAGTATTTAATTATACTTTTTACAGTCAACTAAATTGTTTATTTATTAAAATTTTAGAATGTATGTTATTTTTTTATTAGTATTTAATTATACTTTTTACTATAATTTAAACTCAACTAAATTTTTTATTTAAAAAAAAATAATATAATAGATAGTAAGTTATTTTTATTTATTATTAGTATTTAATATACTTTTTACTATAATTTAAACTTAACTAAATTTTTTATTTAAAAAAACAAAAAATTACTAAAAGAAGTAAGTTATTTTTATTGATTATTAGTATTTAATTATACTTTTTATTGTAATTTTAATTCAACTAAATTTTTTATTTAAAAAAATAATTAATAATTAATAATATAATAGATGATAAGTTATTTATATTTATTATCAGTATTTAATATACTTTTTACTATATTTAATCTTAACTAAATTTTTTATTTAAAAAAACAAAAAAAACAAAAAATTACTAAAGGGAGTAAGTTATTTTTATTGATTATTAGTATTTAATTATACTTTTTACTGTAATTTTAATTCAACTAAATTTTTTATTTAAAAAAATAATCAATGATTAACTATATAATAGATGGTAAGTTATTTTTATTGATTATTAGTATTTAATTATATTTTTTATAGTAATTTAAATTTAACAAATTTTTATTTAAAATTAATAATATTTTTATAGGAAGTAAGTTATATTTATTGACTATCAATATATATTTGATATTTTTGTATTATCTAATATAAAATAATTTTAATATATAATATAATAAATATATTAATTTAGTAAGTATTATATTTATGATTATGATTTATTATAATTATATTAATAATTTAATAAATTTATTTAGAATATAGAAATATGTTCAAATTGTAATAAAATAAATACTGGATATAAATGGTGTCAAGAATGTAATTCTAAATTATTTCAACAAAATTTTTCTAATTGGACTAGTAAAAATAAATTTATTGACAAATTTATTCAAGATATTCAATTAAATACTAAAAATAAAATACAAATATTAGAATGGATTTCTTTTGATAAATTTATTAATATTGAGTTTCTTGATAAAGAAGGATTTAGTACTATATAAAAAGCTACTTAGTTGGATGGATATATTAAATCTTATTCATATAATGATAATAATTGGATTAGAAGTAAAGAAATAGAAATATCTCTTAAATGTTTTGAAAAATCATCAAATTTAAATAAAGAATTCTTAAATAAGGTATGAAATTAATGATTTTTTAATTTTAATAATAAATATTCAACTAAATTTTTTATTTTAGTGAAAATATCATTATAAATGTTATAGCCAATTAAAACAATATACAAATAATAATCTTATTCAATTATATGGATTTACTCAAGATCCAAATACATTAAATTATGCAGTAAATAGTAATTTAAGAAAAAATTTATTTAATATAGTTAATGATAGATGAATTATTAAATTATTACAATTAAATAATATTATTACTGGACTTGATGAAATACATCAAAAAAATCTAATTCATTGTGATTTTCATCATGGTAATATTTTAAATATAAAAGGCAAAATTTTATCTATTAGTGATTTAGGATTATGTAAACCTATAGAATATTTTCAATTATCTAAAAATAATGATATTTATGGTGTTTTATCATTTGTAGCACCTGAAGTTTTAAGAGGTCAACCTTATACTTTAGCTAGTGATATTTATAGTTTTTCTATAATTATGTGGGAATTTATATCTGGAGTTTCTCCATTTGATAATGAAGCTCATAATTTTCAACTTAGCTTAGATATTTGCAAAGGTAAACATTTTAAAATTATTAAAAATATTCCACAATGTTATATAAATTTTATGAAAAAGTGTTGGAAAATGGATTCATTAAAAAGACCAACTGCATCAGAAATCAAAAATATTATTGAAAATTTGATAAATAATATTCCTACTAAAAATTTTGATAAAAAATTAAAGGATGATATTATAGATTTTTATAAAGCAGATAAAAAATTAGATCAAAAGCAAAATTTTAATACTGATAATAAGATTATTGCTAAATCTCATCCTAAAGCATATCATATAAGTCATTTACTTGATTTTACTAACAGAATAAATGCTATTTTAAGTAAAGAAGAGAAAAGTAAATGTTTGGATTGTAAAATTAATGATTAAAATAAGCATTAATTATTATATTTAATTAGTAAAATAAATTATTTAGTAACTATTTTAATATTATAGATTATAAATATTTTAAATATTTTACTTTTAATATACTTTAAATTTTATAAATAAGTAATAATTAAATAAAATGCTAAATTATATATAGAATATATTTGATTATATTCTAAAAATTTAAAATTAAATTTAATAAAAATTATATTTAATGTATTTATTATACGTTTTAATATTTAATTATTAAATAAATATTTTAATTAAGATAATTATAACTTATTTATTTTATTATTAATAATAAATTTATTATAATAAAGTTAATCAAAATTTTTATAAAATATTAATTATTTAATATATTTAATGAAGAGATGTTATTGAGTGAAAATTTGGTAGTGATCATTATTAAATTTACTAACTTTTTACTTAATTAAATGTGTATCATACAAATTAACATGGATTAATTTATATTAGAGAATTTGTGATATGAACATTTTATCTGTATTGTATAATATATATATGTGTGATACTTTTAAGCTATGTTATATTTAACAATCACAAAAGTAGTTTTTTTAAGAATTTTAATTTTATAGATAAAAAAAAACTAACTTCATTTTATATTATATTTGTTGTATTACATTTTTATGTATAGTAAATATTAATACTATTTATTTTTAATCTGTATTTGATCATGCTTGTTTAATCAAAATATTTTTTTTAAATTTTAATTAGTTATTTGAAAAGATTAGGATCAGAAAAAACAGAACTGCAATTTTTTAGATTCATTACTATTTCGCTAAATAAATCTAACTAAATATAGTAAGTTAATCAAATCTATTGTAATTTTATCATCTCAATTTTGTGAAAGAAATTTTTTTTAAATATTTTCAATTAATGTATATGTAAATAAATAGATAACGAAATTAATAAAAATTACAAAACTTCAAATTCTAAATCAAATAAAAATAAAGAATATAATTCTTTATATCTATTAAACCTAATAAGGCTTTTTTATCACCTTTAACACAATTAAATATGCAGTTTCTCAAAACCTATATCAATTTAATCAAAGTTTTTTTTCTACCTATTCAAAATTCAAAAGTTTTGTCTATAAATTCTATTTTTTTTTTTTTATCTTCAGCTCAATAAAAATATAATAACAATTTTATTAATATAATAATATATATAATAATATTAATCATAATAATGTTATAAGTTATATTAAAAAAAATTTACAGTTTATTGAAAAATAAAATAAATGATAAGGTATTTTAAATTATTTATATATTTCTTTTTTAAATATAATAAATTGTATTATTTACTAATTATTAATTATTAATTATTAATATAATTTAATTTAAATTAATTAGAAATAGCAAATAAATAGCAGCAATAGCAGCAATATCCAAAAAAAAAGAAATTATCAAATGATAAATGATAAAGCAGAAAAAATCTCTCATGATCAAAATTTCTGAAATGATATTGAATTAAAAATTATGCTGAAATTTATATCTTAGAATTACAAAATGTAGTATAATTATAAAAATAAAGTTTATGAAAATTTAGTGAAATCAAAAGTTTTACTAAATCGAGATATTGATCAAGTTAGAAATAAGACAAACAAGCTTTATAGAAAATATTTTGATGAAAAGAAAGAAAGTAATAAAATAGAAGCAAGTTTATCTACATAAAAATGATGTGAAATATTTGATGAACTTTATGGTTATAAAGAAAATACTAATCCTTTATATATTTCTGATAGTATAGTTATTAATAAGAAAAATAGAAAAATATGATAAAATTTTATTAATGATGTGAAAGTAAAAGAAGAAGTTAAAAAACTATAATAGTTCAAAAAAGCATAAATCAAATATTATGAATATTCTTTCTAATGTAATTGTATTAATGAATGAATCTAAAAAGAAATTTTTGATAAAAAATTAGATTTATAATAAATAGTAAAATAGAATTAGAAAAATATAAAGTTGATCAAAAAATGGAATTGAAAAGGTTAGAATTAGAAATTCAAAAATAAAAACTTAAAATAAAAAAAAATTAGAGTAAGAGAAAATAAAACTAAAACAATAATGTTTTATATTTTTTTTATTTGAAATTTATTGATTAATAAAATTAATTTGCTTTTACAAGAATAAATTTATTAATATTAATGTTATATGATATGTTACATGAATTAATATATGAAATGTTATGTGAAATAATTTACAAAAAATTATATAAATCATATTTATTAATGTTTTATTATATATACAAAAATTAAGAAAATTATAAATTGATCAATTCTATCATATAATTTCTTTTAATTTAACTAATTCTTTTTAATTCTGCATTACTTTCATATAAATTATTGGTTATATCTTTAGTATTAATATTAGATACATATTTTTCCTCCCAAATTTTACCATTTAATTCTAAAAAATTATGTAAAATCATAATATATATTCTGTTAAATTTACAGCTAATTTAATAGTTTTTACATTTAAATTTTATAATAAACAAATCTGACCTTTAATCTACCAAAAGCATGCTCTATAACAATTTTATATTTAGAATAAATAAAATTAAAATTTTTATGTTTTTGTATTGAGATATTTTATATAAAAAAAAGAAGAAATTGGATAAGTAAAATCACCAAATATTACATCATTATCTTTGATAAATTCATTTCTATATAAATAAAATAAAGAATTTATATATACTTTAACATTATGAATACTTTCTGACTAACTTATTACATAACTTGTAAAAATTTCTCTATAATTTACTATTGCTTGAACTTGTATAGAATAATATTTTTTCTTATTACAAAATACTTCAGAATCTTTAAAAGGTTTATTAATTAATATTATGTGAGTTTTTATTAATTTTACCAACTACATTTTGAAAATTACCAATATCCCTAAACCATTGTAAAACTTCTTATCTTTTTTCATTATCACTTGGCCATTTTACAAAATTTAATTTAAAAGAAAAAATGGCTATTAAAATACGCTTAATATATAATATGACTGTGCTTTCTGTTACATTAAATAAAGCATAAATAGTAAATATATCACCTTTACTTATTACATTAGCCTGTTTATTGTTACTATTTGTATTAAAAATTTAATGTGTTTTAACAAGAAAAAGTAATTTATGAAAATTTTGTGGAATCATTCTAAAAATCTTTTTAAATCTTATAATATCATAATAGAAAAATCTTTTTAAACCATTCTTGAGATTTATGCATATTATAAATTTATGTTTTGATATATTAAATTTGAAGTATAATAGTTAATAAAGTATTATTACTGAGAATAATCTTTTCTTATTACTTCACGTAATTTGTCTAAGTTCCTTTGCTGCAGTAAGTAACTTTCTTAACATCAGATTTTACAACATTAGGACATCTCTAGTCCTACAGGTATTAAGAATTTCTGGAAATTACTTTACTTGCTTTATGAACTTACAGATTTAGAAACTTAAGAAATTTAGAGAATTTATTTATTTTAATTGATGAACTTAATCACAAGTTAGTGTAGTAGTTCACAATCAAATCCTAGATAATGGACATGTAGAAGGGAAAAGTAATTATTTTTCAAAGTTGATTCCTTTATTTATTACTTGATCTTGTAATAAAACTGAAACTCACAATAGAGTTTAAAACTCGTAAAAGAGTTAATTTACAATATGAGTAAAAAAAAACTATTCTATTTATACAAAATTAATTTGCTATGGCTAACTAATTACTATACTATAATCCAGTAAATCCTAAGAATCTTACGAATCCCCAAAATCATTAAAATCTAGAATTTTACAAATCATTTAATTTATGATTAACATAAATTTAATTCCAGTGACTTCTGTAAATCACTTAATAATTCTATGTAGATCAACTTTTCAATAATAAATTTTTAGTTGGTAACAGAATATATTATAAATTTTTCAAATTCATATTCCTCAAACTTTTTTTTATTAAAGAGTTCTAATAGTTCATCATATTTAAATAAATCTTAAATGCTATAGGTTAAAAGATTTAGTTCTATCCAGAATATTTCAACTTAATTGCTTATAAATTAAACAGTGTAGTAGGGATAAAATGGGGGTTCTAGGGTAAAATCGAAACAATACCCAAAATAGATCTCCAAGCCTTTTTCCAATCAATTCTAGCTATATGAATCA